GCGGCCCAGCAACGAGAATTTGAAACCGCCGTCGGCGGCGCACGTGGAAATGTCGCTCGCGGACACCCACCGGTGTTGCAAGGCCTTCGTGGTGCACACGAGCGTGATCCGCACCTTCCCGGCCTCGTCTCTGCGGAGGTGGTTCACGCAGAAGAACGGATCGTGCTGCCCCGAGGGCGCAGAACTGTACTTCGCGACGGCGGTGGCGAGATCGCCGAGGTCCTGCTTGTGGAGAACCGTGGCGCTGAAGAGGTGCTTCTTGTACAGCTGGATCTTGGCCAAGTCAATGCACTCGTCGGGAACAGCCGGGTTGCCGCGCACTGCAGTGAGGGCGGATCGGGGCCTTGTTGATGGGGTAGCTCGGAGCTGCTTCAGGATCTCCTCGCGTTGTGCAAGCGTGTCCACACCTCGCGCCCCAGCCTGGTTCGCGTTGTCGTGGGCCACGCCGTTCGTGTACAACTCCCACGTGCCATCAGCGGAATGAGGCACTTTACGTAGAAGGGCCTTCCACCCGCAAGGGTTCCTGCTGCAATCCCAATGCTTGCAGTGGAGGTACACAGCGTGCTCGCTGGTGGAAATGACCTCCGGAGAACGGGGATTCGCGCCGAACGGGTGGAGGAGGAGGAGGAGGGAGGTGGAGGAGAAAGACGAGGAGGGCGATGGATCATGTCGGCGTGAGTCCCCGTTCCCCCTCGGACCGTGGCTTTGCAGCCCCGCACGCGCAGCCGAACGCCAACGTGTTGGTATGCGAGTGCTCTGGACGCGAAGGTGCCTCCCAAGTCAGAATAGTTCGAGAGCGGGAGCGGTGGATCCCACGCCACCTTCTTACGTGGATAGGCAGGGACAACCGGGGCCTCGGGGATGTCGACGTCGCCTGCGGCAGGTCCCAGTGGCGGCGGTGGCGCATGCTGTCCACCGGAGCTCGACCCAGGAGGGTCGGCGGCGGGCGCCGCAGCAGGACGCCGCAGGTCGGCTGCCGGCGCCGCGGCAGGGCGCCGCCGCATGCCGCCTCGCAGGCGCAACACGAGCTGCAGCGTGGACCCCTCCTGCACGTTAAAATGCTGAAGCGGCGTGTCGTCATCCAGCTGCTTCCCCGCGAAGACAAGGCGCTGCATAGCTGTGGGAGTGCCAGCCCTACCTTGAATATCTGCTTTAATCTTGCGAGCGCTGTCGCTGGCCTGCACGTGCAAAGTGATGGTCTGGCCCGCGAGCGTCTTGACGAAGATCTGCATGCCGAAGTCACCGAACAACGCGTCGCTGATGTCACCGTAGTCCTGCGGCAGGAGGGGCGCAGGAAGGGGGGGGGAGGAGGAGAAGCTGGAGGGGGCAGGAGGGGGGGCAGGAGGAGGGGAGCAGGAAGGGGAGGAGGAGGGGAGCAGGAGGGGGGGGGCAGGAGGAGGTGAGCAGGAGCATGGGAGCAGGAGGAGGGGGGCAGGAGGAGTGGAAGTTGGAGGGGGCAGGAGGGGGCTCATGCGGCTCAGGGGCTCATAGAGGTATGAGGCGGAGATAGGAGGAGGAAGTCGGAGGAGGAGGACGTAGGAGGAGGAGGAGGAGGTAGGAGGACGAGGTAGGAGGTAGGAGGAGGAGCGGGATGAGGTTAGAGGAGGGAGGAGGAGGAGGAGGAGGACGAGGGGGAGGAGGAGGAGGAGGAGGAGGAGGAAGAGGGGGTGAAAGGGGGAGGGGTGAAAGAGAGGAAGAGGTGAAAGGGTGAAAGGGGGAGGTCCGACCGCCGACCGCCGACCCAATGACCGCCGAGAGGGAGTGAGGATGAGGTGCGGCTGAAGGGGAGTGGGAAAGGGGGGCCTGATCACCATCATCATCATCAGCATCTGCATCATCAGCATACTGATCATCAGCATCATCATCATCATCATCATCATCACCATCATCATCATCAGCATCATCATCATCATCATAATCACCATCATCATCAGCATCATCATCATCGTCATTTTCATCATCATCATAATAATAATCATCGTAATGATCATCATCAACATCATCATCACCATCATCATCATCACCATCATCATCATCATCATCATCACCATCACCATCATCTTTTTCAACACGGAGGAACCCAGCACGCTGGTTCCCGCCACTGCTTAAAGAAGAACGGTCATCGAGCAAAATTGTGCGAGCGCCGGATGGAGGCGGAGGGGGACTGGGAGGCGACAGGGGAGGAAGGAGCCAAACCAGGCCTCAAATCGAGGATAGGCCGGTACAACGAAAATGCGACACTAAGTTGTGGAAGTGGTAATGACGAAAGGTGTCGCCCCGCCCCAACACCCATCGGCATCATCATCATCATCATCATCATCATCGTCGTCATCATCAGCATCATCACCATCACTAGCATCATCATCGTCGTCATCATCATCATCATCGTCATCATCATCGCCCTCGTCATCATCATCGTCAGATCCTCCATCGTCGTCGTCGTCAGCATGACCACCATCCTCAGCAAGGGGACGAGGATGAGGGAGAGGATACCATCCATCATCATCGGCATCATCGGCATTATCTTTGTCAGCGCCGTCCGTCATCTCCAGCTTGTTTTCAATCACCGTCACCATCCCGAGGAGGGGAGGGCGAGAGGAGGGAGGCCAGACACACGACGATGAATACGTCCACCAGAGAATCACCTTCATCATCCTCATCATCATCATCACCATCAGCATCATCATCATCAGCAGCATCTTCATCACCAGCATCATCATCATCAGCATCATCAGAACCAGCATCATCAGAATCATCATCATGATAATCATTATCGCCATCATCATCATCATCAACACTAGCATCACCATCATCCTCATCGTCAGATCATCCATCGTCGTCGTCGTCAGCATGAGCACCATTCTCATGATGGGGACGAGGAAAATAGAGATGATGCCATCCATCATAATCGGCACCATCGGCATTATCTTCGTCGATGCCATCCGTCTTCACCAGCATCCTCTCCATCACCGCAGAAGGAGAGGGCGAGAGAGGGCTCAGAGGGCTCGGAGGGCTGAGAGGGCGCAGAAGGCGCAGAAGGCTCAGAGGGCTCATAGGGCTCATAGGGCTCAGAGGGCTCAGAGGGCTCGTAGGGCTCGTAGGCCTCATTCGGGCTCGTAGGGCTCAGAGGGTTCAAGGGGCCTCAGCATCATCATCATCATCATCAACATCATCACCACCATCATCATCAACACCACCACCGCCACCACCATAATCATGATCACCATCATCAGCACAAGCATCATCACCAGCGCAATCATCACCATCAGCATCATCAACATCATCATCATCATCAGGAAGAGGATGAGGGAGAGAGAGGAGGAGGAGAGACCCGGAGGGAGGGAGGGGGGGAGGAGGAGGGACCTGAGGTGAGAAGGGAAGAGGGGAATGGAGCAGGAGGACAGAGACAGAGAGAGACAGAGAGGAGGAGAAGGCGAAAAGGGGAGAGAGAGGAGGAGCAGGAGCAGAGAAGAAGGAGAAGGGATGTCCTCGAAGTCGAGAGAAGGAGGAGAGGTGGCCAGCGCGAGAACCATGCCACCCCACGCCGCAACAATGGCGCCCATGGCATTGGCGTCCTTCCACATCAGGACGTTCCACAGGGGCAACACCGCTGAGCCGATGGCGTTGCCGATGAACTGGTACACCCAACCCAGGTTCAAGCCCATGTGGTTCAGGGCCACGCCCAGAGCACCCATGGCGAGCCCGAAGACTACCATGACGACGCGGGAGATCTTGAGAATCTGATCGCCAGTTGCGCTCGGGTTGATGTACCGCCTGTACACGTCGTAGCAGATCAAGGAGGAGACCGCAATGCCCTCCGCGGAGCCTGTGGACGTGATGGCCATGAAGAGCATGGTGGCCATCATGACGGCTCCGAAATCACCGAAGAGGTGCGCGGCGGTGGCCGGCGGCACAAGGCCAGAGCCAGCCTCCGCCGCGGTGATGGGCAAGCCGAGCGCCACACCAGCCAGACCCAGAGAGGTGGCCAGTGCGAACGGGATGGTGAACCACACCAGGCCGCCCAGCAGGTAGCCCTTGTGCGCGCTGGCCGGCTTGGCAGCGATGGCGGACTGCCAGTAGGACTGGTCCACGAACACGGTGCCGAAATTGCCCACGATGTTGATGATGCCGAATTTGAGGCCGCCCAGCGAGAGCATTGTCAGGTACGAGCCGTCGTTGTTGTCGACCACTGGGCCGCACGAGTAGCTCCCCGCCTCGTAGAAGGTTGCCCCGCCCGTAGAGAAGCGACTCTCGCACTGCGCCGCGCTCATGCCCGAGATCGCCTGCAGATTGTCGTAGATGATGTTCGAAGAGTATTCCTTGACGTACACGGTGTATACGCAGACCACGAGGACCAAGAAGATGACTGCCGTGTGCAAGTAGGAAGCCATGAACGTGGCCTTCAGACCGCCAGCCGCCGTGTACAGGATCACGCCCCACGGGATGAGGAAGGAGGCGAGGTCGGTGTCCACGCCCGTCAGCGCGTTCACGGTGGCGGCGCCGCCCAGCAGCAGCATCGACGTCACGATCACGTTGGCGAGCAGGCAGAAGAAGATGAAGGTCAAATGCGCGGCCTTGCCCCAGCGCACGTACACCAGCTCGCAGACCGTGTGGCACGTCCGTGCCCGCCTCTTCAACTCGATGGCGAGGATACCGAACAGGAGCACCTGGATGGTGGCGCCGCTGGCGTACCAGAACGGGCCAGAGACGCCGTAATTCCAGGCCACGTTGGAGGACTGCAGCAGCGTTGCAGCCCAGGTCCACTGCGACACGATGACCGACGCTGTGAGCCCCGTCTTCACATTCCTGCCCGCGGTGTTGAAGAACTCCGAGGTGATTACTGTGCCGTTGGCGGTCTTGTCCAAGTACACCATGATGGTCGTTAACACCGAGAAGAAGGCACCGAAGCCCAGGACGATTGCGTAGCCAGCTGCCTGCGGAAGCGGCGGGGTGCCTCCGAAGAAACTGTCCTTGCCTACGTACTCGGCTGGCATCTCCATGTCTGCGCTTCAGGTGCGATGGCCTGCAGGGGGGGAGGCCTTCCGCGATGTAAGTCCTCAGAGCGCCTAGCCCCTGACCTGATGCCAGCCCTCGAACCAAAAATGGCTGTGGATGACAGTGGTCTGCTGAGCCGGGCGCGGCCATGGATCGACTAAACCATCATGTCATCCATCTCACAGCTCATTTCCCTTTCTCCCTGGCCCTAGGCATCGCAACCGCCATCGTGCCACGGGCACTGAGTGGAGTGTCGTCGAGCGCCCCAGAACCTCCAATACATGACATCAGTCACCGTGCCGCGAGGCACTGATTGTTCTGAGGTCTCTCCGAGTTCTCTTTATAGAATGCACATGCTCTTTAAACAGGTCCGCAGCCCCGAGTCCTGGGCGTTATATAGAGGACCCCCACGAGAGTCCCAGGAAACAACTTCAATTCAAGAGCTTTAGATTTTCGACGGATCTGACGGTTCCTTTCTTTTTTCATGCGAAAGAATATTCAGGGGGAGAGCCTCGGACTATTCGGGTCACACTTCCCAGGTCTACCCCCGCCTAGCGCGATGTTTCTGCGCCCGAATCTTCGAGGAGTAGGAACCTTCGAGGGCCAATTCCAAAGCTCTTCGAGCGGGGCGCGGCCAGCGGAAGGGGCCTCTCAGAAGCCTCTCAGAAGCCTCTCAGAAGCCTCTCAGAAGCCTCCCAGGGGCTTCTCAGGGGCCTCTCAGAAGCCTCTCAGAAGCCTCTCAGAAGCCTCTCAGAAGCCTCCCAGGGGCTTCTCAGGGGCCTCTCAGGGGCCTCTCAGAAGCCTCTCAAGGGCCTCTCAGAAGCCTCTCAAGGGCCTCTCAGAAGCCTCTCAGAAGCCTCGCAGAAGCCTCTCAGAAGCCTCTCAGAAGCTTCCCAGAAGCCTCTCATATTCGTATACTTTCAGACTTTCGCACTGTCAGACTCTCAGACTCTGAGAGGGTTCTACCGGGAAATGTCCGATTTTCCCGGGGTAAGTCCGATTTTACCGGGAAAAGTCTTTTTCTCCCTCACACACTCCCCCTTGGTACTCCAGATTTCGTAATAAAGGGAGGGGGGTCTCATTTCGGGGGGGGTCTCTTGCAGGCTATCTTGGAGGGCCTGGGGGGTCTGAGGACGATGTGTTGGAGGGTTCTCCCACGGGGGAGGTCTGAAATGGCTTGTCTTAGAGGGTCCAGACCACCTCCCTTTTATTACAAAATCTGGAGCACTTTCCCCAGTTAATGGACGGATCGCGACGCTACGCGCGCGTTCCGTCAGCCGCCGCCCCCTGTGCTTGCCACAAGGATGCTCGGCGTGTCGAAGTGTTCGGTACAGTTGGGGCGTTGACCTAAGGAACCCTAAATAAGGAACGGGGCCCCTTTCCTCGAGAAGTTAAACTTCGATTTCCCATCGCAAACCTAAGGAAGATCCAAGGCAAGCTGCGAAACACTCAAGGAACACGGAGCCCCTCCCCAACGATAAGGGCTCCTTCTCCAGCGCCCCGGCTGTACTCCTCCCGGCGAATGGACGGATCGCGACGCTACGCGCGCTTTCCGTCAGCCGCCGCCCCCTGTGCTTGCCACCAGGGTGCTCGGCGTGCCGCCAACTCTATGCCGTGGCTCAGGAGAACAAAGTCGCTAGAGCCACTCAGATGAACTCGTCGAAGGAGTTCGTCTTCCGGCCGGAAATGTCGAACACGAAATTCGTGAATTACCCCTCGGGGTCGAAGGGTGCGGTACACCCTGCGAAATGCTTAAGAAATCATGGGTTAAGAAATTCATAGTCTCAGAAATGGAACAAAACCCAGCATTTCTATCAAAATCTTGGGATTCACATTGAAAAGTTACGAATAATCGAGACTCTGGACGAAAACTTAGGTTTTCTTAAGCATCGCCTAAGGTGTAGTTTGTTGGCTGTGCTGCACTTTTTTTCTAAGGGGGGCCCCCGGCCGATCCCGCCGTCCACCAGGGGGGGAGCCCGCGCAGCAGAGCCCAACGTGCACGAGCAGCTCTCTCCCAAGATGGCCAAGATGGCACAAGATGTTTTTTTCCAGCGCGCATCCGACTGATCCGCTGCCCCTCCAGGGGGGCGATCATGAGCGCGCGAGAACGCAACGAGCTCGAACGCGGCCAGGGCGGCACAAGATGGTCGCCAAGATGCCTCCCAGACATTCGAGAGGGCCCAAAGCGGCCTCCAGGATGCTCCCAAGGCACCTCCAAGAAGGCCAAGGTGTTCTCAACACAACCCAAGATGCCATCCAGAGGGCCTAAGAGGCCCCCAAGACGCCCCCCCGAGATGGCTCCAAGAGGACCTCCAGGAGGCGAATACCTTTGACTTCCTGTTAGGCTTTCCAACATGATTTTAGCGTCCTTGCCTCTTCGGGCCTCCGACGCTCCAAGACGAGCCCATAGGCCCCCAACATCGCCCCAGGACGGCCCGCGAGACGGCCAAGAGAGCCCTGAGGCAGCCTAAGAGGCCACCAGAACGGTCCCCAGACGGCCCAAGAGACCCCAAGACTGCCTTACAGCGCCGAAAAAGGAACCTACGACTGCCCAGGGCGGGCCCGAGACTGCCTCTGAAGGTCAAGTGGCCCCTTAGACGCCCGAAGAGGGCGCCAAGAGGACCTCCAGTACTAAATTTCGGGAGGTGCTTCATGAATGTAGCGTTCTCGAACTGTCGAGCTTCAAATGCTCCAAGACGGGTCCAGAGACCCCCAAAATCGCCCCCAGACGGCCCAAGAGGGCTCCAAGACAATCCAAGAGGCCCCCAGAACGGTCCAAAGAGCTCCAAGACGGCCGTAAAGCGAGCCCCAAGACGGCCTCCGAAGGCCAAGAGGTGCCATAGGGGCCCCCGTGAGGGACCCTAAGAGGTCCCCAAGAAGCCCCAGGAGCCCACCCCGAAGGCGGCCCATTAGAGTTAGGTAGGGCCTAGGCGGAGCTTGGACGAACATGAAAAAAATACTCCAAACATGCTCAACCATAGTCAGCAATAGTAGGAAAATCGTCCCCAGACATGTTTATAATGTTGAATATGCCTCCTGTAGGGGGGGGGGGGGGGGGACACGCCCGACTGAACATTGCAGCCCCCACGACACACTCCCAGTAAGCCCATAGGAAACTTCAAGAGAGCCAGCATCGCGGAGCCGCATCTTCGTCCTCCTCCTCCTCCTCCTCCTCCTCCTCCTCTTCGTCCCCCTCCCTTCTCCTCCTCCTCCTCCTCCTCCTCCTCCTCCTCGTCATCTTCGTTCATGACTCCTCCTCTTCCTCCCCCTCTTCCCCTCCCCCTCCACCTTCTCCTCCTCCGCCCGCCCGCTCCTCCCGCTCCTCCTCCTCCTCCTCCTCCTCCTCCTCCTCCTCCTGCTTCTCCTCCTCCCCCCCTCCTTCCCTGCCCCTCCTCCTCCTCCACCTCCTCCTCCTCCTCCTCCTCTCATCTCCTCCTCCTCCTCCTCCTCCTCCTCCTCCTCCCTCTTCCTCTTCCCCTTCCTCTTCCTCTTCCTCTTCCTCTTCCATCATCATCATCATCATCATCATCATCATCATCATCATCATTCATCATCAGCATCAGCATCAGCATCAGCATCAGCATCAGCATCAGCAGCATCAGCACATCAGCAGCATCATCATCATCAGCAAGCATCATCCATCATCATCATCACCATCATCATCATCATCATCATCATCATCAGCATCATCATCATCATCATCATCATCAGCATCATCATCATCATCATCATCATCATCATCATCATCAGCATCATCATCATCATCATCATCGACGGCGAGGTGGGGAGGTGAGACGGAGGAGGCCTTCTCAGAAGGCGGCAGAGCTTCTCAGGGGCCATCGCGCCTCCCGAGGAGTTTCTGCGTCCCCGCGGAGAGCTCAGACAACTTCTCGGAGGGCCCGAGGGCTTCCCGAGCCTTCCGAGAAGGCCCGCCCCCTCCCATTTCCCCCCGGGCTCGCCGCCGAGTTTAGCACCCCTATGCCGCGTGCATCACACATTTGAGGAACATTTGAGGGTGGCTGGGAGGAGGAGGAGGAGGAGGAGGAGGAGGAATCCTCAGGTCTTGTCTCTGGAGCGCAGGCGAAGCGGGGCCGAGCACGCAGGTGGCAGCGGCCAGGGCGGGACGCATCGCGGACACACACACACACAGACACACACAGACACAGACACCAACACCGACACAGACACCGACACAGACGCAAGCACCCAAACAACACACACACCACACACACACACACACCACACACCACACACCACACACACAGACACACACACAAACACAGACACACACACACACAGACACAGACACAGACACACACACAGACACACACGCAAGCACACAAACACACACACACACACCACACACACACACACCACACACCACACACACACAGACACAGACACAAACACAAACACACACACACACACATGCGGCTGGGCAAAGACCTGCGATCGAATACGTGCACAAGGCGGCAAACATCACGGCACGCTCGCAGGTCAATCGGATGCTGTGCGCTGAGGACGGGCGGATCAAAGGAGCGGCGGCCTCGACGGGCCGCACCCCGGAGATCGGCGAGCACCGACGCCTTGCCCACACGCGCAAGGCCCCCACCGGCCAGAACGCCTGCCGCGGAATGCCTCGGAAACGGGCCAGTAGGAGGAGAGGAGAAGGGAGAGGTTGGAGAATGAGGATCGACGGGGAGAACAACGCGCGAGAAAGAGGGGGAGCCGTGACTCAGGACGACGACGACGACGACGACCACGACGACGACGACGAACACGACGACCACGACGCCAAGAAGGAGCAGCAGCTGGAGCAGGAGGCAGGGGGGGACGGGGGACGGACGGAAGTATTGAAACGATCGCGTGAGAGGATCGAATAAGACTCCGGGGAAGAGCGAGCAGGAGCAGTGAGGGAGGAGATGCGGAGGGCTAGGGCAGAGAGAGAGGAGAAGGAGAAGGAGGAGGAGGAGGAGGAGGAGGAGGAGGAAGAAGAGGAGGAGGA